GTTGAACCAGCCCTGCATCCCAGGAATGAATCCCACTTGATCATGGTGAATAATTCTTTTTATATGCCATTGAATTCGATTTGCTAGTATCTTACTGAGAATTTTGGCATCCATATTCATCAGGGATATTGGCCTGTAGTTCTCTTTTTTTACTGGGTCTCTGTCTGGTTTAGGAATCAAAGTAATACTGGCTTCATAGAATGAGTCTGGAAGTTTTCCTTCCCTTTCTATTTCTTGGAATAGCTTGAGAAGCATAGGTATTATCTCTGCTTTAATCGTCTGGTAGAACTCCCCTGGGAAGCCATCTGGTCCTGGACTCTTATTTGTTGGGAGATTTTTGATAACCGATTCAATTTCTTTGCTGGTTATGGGTCTGTTCAAGCTTTCTATTTCCTCCTGATTGAGTTTTGGAAGAGTGTGGGTGTTCAGGAATTTGTCCATTTCTTCCAGGTTGTCCAATTTGTTGGCATATAATTTTTCATAGTATTTCCTGATAATTGTATCTCTGAGGGATTGGTTGTAATAATTCCCTTTTCATTCATGATTTTATCTATTTGGTTCATCTCCCTTTTCTTTTTGAGAAGCCTGGCTAGAGGTTTGTCAATTTTGTTTATTTTTTCAAAAAACCAAATCTTGGTTTCGTTGATCTGCTCTACAGTTTTTTTTAGATTCTATATTGTTTATTTCTGCTCTGATCTTTATTATTTCTCTTCTTCTGCTGGGTTTAGGCTGCCTTTGCTGTTCTGCTTCTAGTTCCTTTAGGTGTGCTGTTAGATTTTGTATTTGGGATTTTTCTTGTTTCTTGAGATAGGCCTGGATTGCAATGTATTTTCCTCTCAGGACTGCCTTCGCTGCGTCCCAAAGCGTTTGGATTGTTGTATTTTCATTTTCGTTTGTTTCCATATATTTTTTAATTTCTTCTCTAATTGCCGGGTTGACCCACTCATTCGTTAGTAGGGTGTTCTTTAACCTCCATGCTTTTGGAGGTTTTCCAGACTTTTTTCTGTGGTTGATTTCAAGCTTCATAGCATTGTGGTCTGAAAGTATGCATGGTATGATTTCAATTCTTGTAAACTTATGAAGGGCTGTTTTGTGACCCAGTATATGATCTCTCTTGGAGAATGTTCCATGTGCACTCGAGAAGAAAGTATATTCTGTTGCTTTGGGATGCAGAGTTCTAAATATATCTGTCAAGTCCATCTGATCCAATGTCTCATTCAGGGCCCTTGTTTCTTTATTGACCGTGTGTCTAGATGATCTATCCATTTCTGTAAGTGGGGTGTTAAAGTCCCCTGCAATTACCACATTCTTATCAATAAGGTTGCTTATGTTTGTGAGTAATTGTTTTCTATATTTGGGCGCTCCGGTATTCGGCGCCTAGACATTTATAATTGTTAGCTCTTCCTGATGGATAGACCCTGTCACTATTATATAATGTCCTTCTTCATCTCTTGTTACAGCCTTTAATTTAAAGTCTAGTTTGTCTGATATAAGTATGGCTACTCCAGCTTTCTTTTGGCTTCCAGTAGCATGATAAATAGTTCTCCATCCCCTCACTCTCAATCTAAAGGTGTCCTCAGGTCTAAAATGAGTCTCTTGTAGACAGCAAATAGATGGGTCTTGTTTTTTTATCCATTCTGATACCCTGTGTCTTTTGGTTGGCGCATTTAATCCATTTACATTCAGTGTTATTATAGAAAGATATGGGTTTAGAGTCATTGTGATGTCTGTATGTTTTATGCTTGTAGTGATGTCTCTGGTACTTTGTCTCACAGGGTCCCTCTTAGGATCACTTGTAGGGCTGGTTTAGTGGTGACAAATTCCTTCAGTTTTTGTTTGTTTGGGAAGACCTTTATCTCTCCTTCTATTCTAAATGACAGACTTGCTGGATAAAGGATTCTCGGCTGCATATTTTTCCTGTTTAGCACACTGAAGATCTCGTGCCAATTCTTTCTGGCCTGCCAAGTTTCAAAAGAGAGATCAGTCACGAGTCTATAGGTCTCCCTTTATATGTGAGGGCACGTTTACCCCTTGCTGCTTTCAGAATTTTCTCTTTATCCTTGTATTTTGCCAGTTTCACTATGATATGTCGTGCAGAAGATCGATTCAAGTTATGTCTGAAGGGAGTTCTCTGTGCCTCTTGGATTTCAATGCCTTTTTCCTTCCCCACTTCAGGGAAGTTCTCAGCTATTATTTCTTCAAGTACCCCTTCAGCACCTTTCCCTCTCTCTTCCTCCTCTGGGATACCAATTATGCGTATATTATTTCTTTTTAGTGTATCAGTTCTCTAATTTTCCCCTCATACTCCTGGATTTTTTTATCTCTCTTTTTCTCAGCTTCCTCTTTTTCCATAACTTTATCTTCTAGTTCACCTATTCTCTCCTCTGCCTCTTCAATCCGAGCCGTGGTGGTTTCCATTTTGTTATGCATTTCGTTTAAAGCGTTTTTCAGCTCCTCGTGACTGTTCCTTAGTCCCTTGATCTCTGTAGCAAGAGATTCTCTGCTGTCCTCTATACTGTTTTCAAGCCCAGCGATTAATTTTATGACTATTATTCTAAATTCACTTTCTGTTATATTATTTAAATCCTTTTTGATCAGCTCATTAGCTGTTGTTGTTTCCTGGAGATTCTTCTGAGGGGAGTTCTTCCGCTTGGTCATTTTGGATAGTCCCTGGCGTGGTGAGGACCTGCAGGGCACTTCCCCTGTGCTGTGGTGCATAACTGGAGTTGATGGGCGGAGCCGCAGTCAGACCTGATGTCTGCCCCCAGCCCACCGCTGTGTCCACAGTCAGACTGGTGTGTGCCTTCTCTTCCCCTCTCCTAGGGGCGGGATTCACTGTGGGGTGGGGTGGCCTGTCTGGGCTACTTACACACTGCCAGGCTTGTGATGCTGGGGATCTGGTGTCTTAGCTGGGGTGGGTAGGCAAGGTGCACAGGGGCAGGAGGGGCAGGCTTAGCTTGCTTCTCCTTAGGTGATCCACTTCAGGAGGGGCCCTGTGGCAGCAGGAAGGAGTCAGATCCGCTGCAGGATGTTTGGCTCCGCAGAAGCGCAGAGTTGGGTGTTTGCGTGGAGTGAGCAAGTTCCCTGGCAGGAACTGGTTCTCTTTGGGATTTTGGCTGGGGGATGGGCGGGGGAGATGGCGCTGGCGAGCGCCTTTGTTCCCCACCAAACTGAGCTCTGTCGTCAGGGGGCTCAGCAGCTCTCCTTCTCTTTGTCCTCCAGGCTTCCCGCTTTCTGAGCAGAGCTGTTAACTTATGACCTCCCAGCCGCTAAGTTGCGCTTGCTGTCGGAACACAGTCCGTCAGGCCCTCCACTTTTTGCAAACCAGACTCGGGGGCTCTGCTTAGCCGGCGAGCCGCCACTCCGCCCCGGCTCCCTCCCGCCAGTCCGTGGAGCGTGCACCACCTCGCCGCCCTTCCTACCCTCTTCCGTGGGCCTCTCATCTATGCCTGGCTCCGGGGACTCCGTTCTGCTAATCCTCTGGCGGTTTTCTGGGTTATTTAGGCAGGTGTAGGTGGAATCTAAGTGATCAGCAGGACGCGCGGTGAGCCCAGCGTCCTCTTACGCCGCCATCTTCCCTCTCTTCCTACTTCTCTTATTTTAAATGTATCTAGGAACAGGTGACTACCCAGGCAGGTTTTTGGAGGTGTATGGATGAATGATATCCTTTTTAAGCTGTTAAATAAGGATTTAGGTATAAAATCTTCATAAAAGGCCAAATGTAATAAACTTTTTGTTTTAAATAGATTAGCAAATGATGAACATTCTAGTGCCACCCTGCACACTGACACATGCATGCACTTGTAACCATCGATAGTAACCCTCATGTACTTGTATTCTCTTCACTCCTTTAGCCAAGTGTTTCCTATAGTGCTAGGGACACAGTCCTTGTTGATCTGTCAAAATAGGGCTCCTCATGAGGGATCCTATGCCTACACTACAAACTGACCAGGTACAGAAGATCCATATCAACTGAATGTACTGTTTACATTTAAGAAATTTAAAATTTTGTATGAGTATCCCATTAGAAAATGTTACTAATACACTGGAAAATTAGAATGTCAAAGGATAAATTATTGCTATCATTAGAACAAAACATGACTGACCTGTGCAACCAAGTACTGGGAAAATAAAATACATACCACACTTAAATATTTTAGTGTGTGTCTAGGCAAAGACAGAAGTCATCATAGAAAAAGTTTTGATTCTCTCCAGGATTGGCGATGTGATCCGATCTACTGTTTTTTAATCCAGTTTTCCTTTCTTTTGGCGGGGGGTGGGGAGGGGTGGGGAGACACTGCAAAAGCATTTTATTTTTTTTTATAATCCAGTTTTCAAAAAAAAAATGTAATTAGAATTCTGAGTAGGAGAAAATAAAAAACATTTTAGGAAATGGTAGGAAAAAGTGGCAATAACTCATATTCTTAAAAAGTATAGTTATTAGCCATTTCAAACTCATCTCTTGAAAATATTATAATGGAATTGTGCTGGAAAAGTCAAGTTTTTGTCTTTATCCTTGGAGAGTCCTTTGGTAAGCTTCCACCTGAAGAGGCAATTTTCTTTGTATTTGGTTTGTTACAAATAGCATTATTTATCTCACATTAAATTTCAAAATCCAAAAAATACTTTATTCCAGTAGATGTTAGATTACAGTGACTATCATCAGCCATTTACTAGTTCAGTTTTTGAGACTCACTGTATATGGGGCACATTTCTTTTAGTTTACCAAAGGAAGATTGAAATACTTGCACTGAATTTGGTGGATTTTATGAGATAATATCTGGCTTACAACTGGCTTAACACTCTCTTGTCTTTGTGTATATGGCTTTTTTTACTTTGGAACTCATGTCAAAATAAAAGTTTAACCTACAAATAACTGTATTTACAAAGTTATATCAATGAATATAAACAGAAGAGAATGGAATAACAGGTGTATGTAAATATGGACTTGAATAAAGACTTCTCCAAATGTAATTGCATTTCTGTTAATTTTTTTTCAGAGAAGTTCTACAGAAATTTTGGAATATTCATCAGATAGTGAAAAGGAAGATGACTCAGAGAATGCCTTGTTCATTGATTCAGAATCCTCTCCCAAAAACCACATGGATTTTGGAACTGATGTTAGAGAGGTGATGGAGAGATCAATAAGGCGGAAGGTGAAATCTGCAGAGACCATTTTGTACATGCCCCAGAAGCAGACATTTCCCAGGACTCCAGGACCATCAGCAAAGATGAAGCTTCTAAGGTAAATTACATCTCTTTAAATACTTGTTTAGAAAGTTGTTATATTTCTTTAAAAATCTAATCCCTGGGGCACTTGGGTAGCTTGGTTGGTTAAGGTCCAGCTCTTGGTTTCAGCTGAGGTCTTGGTTCATGGGCTTGATCCCTGCATCGGGCTCCGTGCTGGTAGTGCAGAGCCTGCTTGAGATTCTCTCTCTCTTCTCTTCTCTCTCTGCCCCTCCCCTGCTCGCTCTCTCTCTCTCTCTCTCTCTCCCTCACTTGCTCTCTCGCTGTCTCGCTCTTTCTCTCAAAATAAATAAATAAAATTTTTAAAAATCCAAATACCTAAAAGGTTAACTTAAAAATACTTAACTTGTTTACTTGGAGAGGAAAATTGGCAGAATAGAACTCTAAGTTCAATAAGCAATTATAGAAGTTCTAATTTCTGGAGATGAGTTAGGGAACTGTTTATCTAAGTCAAGCATTTACTGTTTCAGTCCTAACAGCTTACATGACTACTTTCCTTAGTGGGATGGGTTGTTAGAGTTTATCAAATTTTATTGAGCATCAGTGTTCCAGATACTTAGACAATTAAGACAAGTAAATGACTATTTCTGTTTTTGAAAAAGTTATAAAGAGGAAAACAGAAATAAATATATTCAAATTACTTTTACAAGTACAGTTACAGAGATTATCCAAAGGAACACTTGCAAATGCAAAGATGTACAAGAGAGCAAAGATGCAGATAAGAAACCAGCTGGTATGTGTATGGAGAACCACAAAGGCCAGGCCATAGTGGGTGGAGCAGGGCATGGAAAGGGGCTCCGGATGTGCCTTATGAGAGCCATATACCAACCGTGTGTAATACATGGTCTCTTTGTGTTTTAAATTAGAACAAAACACGGGGCGCCTGGGTGGCGCAGTCGGTTAAGCGTCCGACTTCAGCCAGGTCACGATCTCGCGGTCCGTGAGTTCGAGCCCCACGTCAGGCTCTGGGCTGATGGCTCAGAGCCTGGAGCCTGTTTCCGATTCTGTGTCTCCCTCTCTCTCTGCCCCTCCCCCGTTCGTGCTCTGTCTCTCTCTCTCCCAAAAATAAATAAACGTTGAAAAAAAAAAATTTTAAAAAAAAATAAATAAATAAATTAGAACAAAACAATGAAAGTAAAATTTCAATGAAAGTGAGAACTTGTGGGAAGCAGTGCCACAAAAGTAAACTTAGTAGAGAGATTCAAGGAAAAAGGAGTTTCGGTAGAAAGAGTAAACATGGCAATGAAAAGCACAGGTTTTGGATATGTTTAGGAAATGTTTAAATAATGAGGCAGAGGATGTGATGCATATTGAGAACCCAATGGCATAGGAGTGGGGACAGTGCTGTGACTTCTAGGATGGGGAATTGAGGTGAGAGGTCAAATGTGGAGATTAGCTGCTAGTGGCTTGAAACGGATCTTGGGTCCAAAGAGACATCAGATGAAAGGTGAGGCCTATTTAGAAAATAATGGGGAGGACCCAGTAGAGACAGAGTGGTTGGAAATAATTGCTCTGTCAGTGTCTAGGAAAAGGAAGTAGGGGAGGGAAGGCTGGGGAGGAGAGTCCTGTCTTAAGCATAGGAGTAGAGGGAGGAGCATAAGGATGTGACAGAGTCTACTGGGATGGATGTAACATGGTGAGTTTATTGATACTTATTCACCATATATATTATGTTATGTTTATAACACAAAATAACTCAGAAGGTCTTATGCCCAGAGTGGGTGTGTTAAAGCCTCAAAAGAAAATGGTGGTGGTTTAATAGTCTCTGGAAAGAACAGGAAAGGAAGACAGTTGGAGGGATTTGAATGTCCTTGTTTTTGAAGTTAATGCCATGTAATTACAGAAAGCCATGTCCCCAACCCTACTGAGGGCCTACTATGTGCTGGGCACTGTTGTGTGTCCTGTGTTAGGAGGATGTATGATGAGGGCCCAAGAAGTAAAGTGGAAGTAATGTCAAAAGGAGACAAATTTTATGTCAAAGAAAAGCAGAAAAGAAAGCAGAAAAGGATCAAGACTAGTCATGAGGTGTGGGGAAGGACATTTTGTGGAGCTGACATTGCCTGGGATGAGGCAAGAGGGTGATACAGGGGATCAGATGGTTTTGTTTTGTTTTGTTTTCTTGGTGAGAATATCCTGAGGCTCCCCCCCTCCCCGTCCCTGTGGGAGGGAATTGTTAGCCTCTTACTTTCTCTGTTGTAAATTGACCATATACATTTTTTGTACAGTTGATATACTAGGGTCTGAGTTTTTATTATTGTTTTGCTTCTATACTTTCAAACAAAACTTGAAGTTGTTTTTTCCACTTTCTGTTTGGCATTGAATTCTTTTATATGTGTGTAGATGTATTTGGCAAGAATGCATGAAGGTGTCTACTTTGTGTGGTTAGTTCTATCACTTGTTCATGTTGTGTCACCCATCATCCCCCATTACTTTTTTTTAAACAATTAAAAAAATTTTTTTTACATTTTATTTATTTTTGATAGAGAGAGACAGGGCACAAGTGGGGGATGGGCACAGAATCCGAAGCAGGCTCTGGGCTCCGAGCTGTCAGCACAGAGCCCGACGCAGGGCTTGTGCTCACAAACCACGAGATCATGACCTGAGCGGACGCTTAACCAACTGAGCCACAGCTCTACTTCATCACAGCTGTAGTAGAAGGGAAGGTGTAAAATTGGAAGCCTCTGTAAAGAGCAAGACCATCCCTTCCTGGGATGTCTGTTGTGTGGACATCCCAGGAGACACAGGAGGGCAGGATGCCCTCCATGTCTGTTGTGTGGAAATGAGAGGAGAGATGGCAGTTGCATTCAAGATCACAGCCAGGGAGCCCTCAGGGGAAGAGTAAGAAGATGAAAGGAGCATTCGGAGAAGTTGAGGACACAGAGTTTTTGCTAATGACTGAAGCAACTCCACAAATATGCAGAAGATTGTTTTCTTCTTGTGATTTCTAAGTGATAACTAAATAAGGGATATACAGGGGCACCTGAGTGGCTCAGTCAGTTAAGTGTCTGACTCTTGATTTCAGCTTAGGTCATGATCTCATGTTCGTATGATTGAGCCCCACGTCAGGCTCCCACTATTCAGTGCAGAGCCTTCTCGAGATTCTCTCTCCCTCTCTCTCTGCCCCTCCCTCGCTCTGGGGGCATGTGCGCATGTTTTCTTTCTCTCAAGAATAAATAAATAAACATTAAGTGAGGGATGTCTGTTTTGTGGCCATTCCTTCCAAGTTGATAATGTGTTTAAATGTTAAAAATGATGGGGCGCCTGGGTGGCTCAGTCGGTTGAGTGTCCGACTTCAGCTCAGGTCACGATCTCGCGGTCCGCGAGTTCGAGCCCCGCGTCGGGCTCTGGGCTGATGGCTCAGAGCCTGGAGCCTGCTTCCGATTCTGTGTCTCCCTCTCTCTCTGCCCCCCCCCCCCCGTTCATGCTGTGTCTCTCTCTGTCTCAAAAATAAATAAAAAAACGTTAAAAAAAATTTAAAAATGAGTTTGATGTGATTAGGGTTGTCAGTCTCAGGCATTCAAACTGGAAGACTGTTGACAATAGGAGCCAGCTTTCTAAACTGACTAGGATAGCTTATGATTGCCCATGATGACAGTTTCTTGACTTCCTTCTGAAGGAGGGGAAAAGGTAATATATTTTGATTCATATGCTGTTTTGTAATGAAAGCACTAGAGCATCATGCTTAGAAAAATCTCTTAGCTAGTTATCTAATAAGGATCAAAGAAACAGTTTTGCATTAAGAAATTTGGTTTGTTGAAGTGAACTCCTATGAAAATGCTGAGAATACTGATGTCCTGATAATCCTCACAAAGATCACCAAACAAAACAAAATGAAACAAAACAAAACCCAGTTACTGACTTTTGTCAGACAGAGTACAGAAAAATACAGGTCTGGGCATCTGGGTGGCTCAGCTGGTTGAGCGTCCGACTTTGGCTCAGGTCATGAACTTATGGTTCTTCATGATCTTCAAGGCCTGCATCAGGCTGCTCACTGCTTTAAGTGCAGAGCCTGCTTCAGATGCTCTGTCCCCCTTGCTCTTTGCCCCTCCCCCACATGCACTGTCTCTCTCAAATATAAATAAACATAAAAAAAAAATACGGGTGTAAATAATAGATTTTCCTTATCTAGAATGACCATAGCTGTGATTAAAAGAATTGTTGCTTTTTTGTTTGTTTTTAACCAGATTGTGGCTCATTAGCAAGGATCAAGTTAAGTAGTTGTTGGCATTTCAAGTTTGGAGAACATTGAACTTTTCCCTTGTGTTTGCCCCATAGAGAAATGTTACTCTTTGGGCTACCTGTTTTTTTGTTTTAAGTTTATGTATTTATTTTGAGAGAGAGAAAGAAAGAGTGTGCGTGCACATGCACACTTGTGAGCAGGGGAGGGCCAAAGAGAGAGAGAGAGAGGGAGAGAGAGAATCCCAAGCAAGCTCTGCACTGTCAGCACGGAGCCCAGCACGGGGCTCGATCCCACAAACCATGAGATCATGACCTGATCCAAAATCAAAGAGTCGGATGCTCAATGGAGTGAGCCACCAAGGCGCCCCTTCCCTTTTAAAAAAAAATTTATCTTTTTGGTTCATGACTTTATTCTGTTTAAGTCATAACTAATGAAAGTCAATGCAAAATTGTTTGTATATTTAAGTATGTTGTCAATAATAAAGCCATATCTCCCTATTCTTATGATAAAGTTATTTTTCACAATGCCTATTATATCTAACAGAAAACAAAACTTAAATACATTATACTACATTTAAATTATTTTTCCTCACTTTATATAGCTTATTAAAAATATTTAAATGAAGGGCACCTGGGTGGCTCAGTCAGTTAAGCATCCAACTCTTGGTTTCGGCTTGGGTCATGATCTCATGGTTTGCGAGTTCAATCCCACATGAGGCTCCACACTGACAGTGCAGAGCCTGCTTGACATTCTCTCTCTCCCTCTCTCCCAGCCCTTCCCCACTCACTCTCTCTGTTTCTCTCTCAAAAATAAATAAA